GGGGGTAAACAGAGAGAAGGAAAGAGATTTTTTTTGTTTTTGGTTCTATTAATTTAGTTATATTCGTTTTGTGAACCAAAACCATTGTATCCTCATTTTCCCCCATGAAGCTTGCATTCGTTTATATAGACTGTTTATTTGTAGATCTACACTTAAGTCATGATACAAAATTCTTATACATACTAGGTTCTGTGGGTCTGACATAGCCTGGACGATCTTCGGATGGTTGTAGCCTGAAGAAGAAAACAAAAAGAACAAAATTAGTTACAGTTGTTTGGAAAGGGACATATTTTCTAGTTTTTCGCTCTATGGTCTTTAGAAGTATACTAATATTTTATATTACGTATACAGACTTCAACGGCAAAATCAGGAAGTACCCCACGGGGCGGTGTTACTTACTGAAGAGTCTTTAGGCCATTCCCAAAGGGGGACATTAACATGCTCTTATGCACAGTAGAATTGTAAATGGGCTGATTCATCAATGTCACGCTCATAACTGTGCCTGAACCTGCAACAGAAAACTATTGCTTTTCTTACCTAATCCTTACTATCGTCATTTTTCCTCTACTTCTTTTAATATATTTGTCACACTCTTGTGACCCGCTATTTCCGGGGTGCCTTGATAGTCGAAGTAGACTTTGTGCTGTTGAAGCTAGAGAGGTGAGCAGAGTTAGCCTGATTCTCTGTAAGGACTTCTTTGTTGACATCCACCCCTTGGCGCTCATACAACCTTATGCAGTTGTGAGCGCCTAAAACCCTCTACTAGAAAATAAAAACAAATAAAAAGTCAGGAAGTATCTCTTCCCACGGGATACTTGGTGACAAAGGTGTGCCTGAGAACGGGCCTTTCAAAACTTTGCCATCGTATGTAGTTAACATTTCGATTTGAGGAACTCCCGGACGCGCTAATGACATCAGAGCCTTGGCTACCAGGAATTTCAGCGGCTGTGTCGAGAAGCTCTGAGTTCGAAATTATTTTAAGGCCTTGTGGGAAAGCTACAGCTTGCAGAGACTTTAAATTCACACTACCAGAGCGCCAGCTGGAGTGAGCAATGAAGATAAAAGAGAACCAGAGTCTGTAAAAACTAAAACTTCGAAACTTATGACTTAAAATTATGACCTTAGAATCAATCTCAAATTTGTAGCAGACGGTGAGAAAACATATCTGGTCTCTTTATTCGCTAGTTAGGCCCTGAGCACACTAAGACGATAATAAGTCCCGCTCGTCGTAAACCTGCAGGTATGTAAATGAGGCAGTTTTTAAATCGTTCTTCTCTCTTCACGACCATGTGATGTCAAACTTTGCAACTGAGCGACGATGGGAAATTGTCCTCGGCGATGAAGAGAAAAGAACGGTTAAAAGGGTTCCTGTTTATTTTTGCTCTCATTGTACGAGTTTAACATCCATTTCAACACTTTGAGGGTTCAATGTCCACCTCAGACGGGGCTGTACCAAGATGGCGGAGAGGTATACTGACTCCCAAAACAATCTAAATTTAAGAACGTCTTGCATAGGATTCAGAACAGGATCACCTCTACGGAGTGAATGAGTAAGAGAATAAGTGAGGGTATAACATGTTGATGTTGTTTTTAGCGCGGGTGTTTGTTTTTTAAACCCCTTCGACACAATGTAGATCATTTACGAAATTAGGGGGCAAGCTTCGACCCTGCCTGTCAGGGTCAACCCGGGCCGAAAGAGATACAACATACCTGGCAGAAAGACGGAGATACTCAATTAACAATCGAACCCGGCTCTTCTGCGTACAACAGCAAAGCGAGTGATCGCTTCAACAAAGACACTGGTAATATGTGAGTGAGTGAGTGAGTGAGTGAGTGATCAACAAACCAAAGAACCAACCTAAAGGCAGGGAGGCAATCTGAGTGAAAACATCCAGCATTGTGTTGCCATCCACATCCACGATATAGTTGCCTTTAGAGCGATCATAGTCCACGAAGAAATGAATAGCGTCAGAATTCTGAAAAAGAAGTACACATTTTCTCACTTTGTGTTGCAACATTTCAGAGGAAGTTTTTCCTGAAACGGCTGAACTGATTTCTTGTGCAAACGAAATAATGTGCTTCTTGTGTGTGTGTGAGGGGGGGGGGGGCGTGTCAGGCGTTAAGAGCATATTACCTGTATGGGATAGCGCACTATGTAAATGCAATCTATATCAGTATGCTATCATTACCATTCTAGACAGTACGAGGGGGGAGGGCAAGTACTACAGGGGGGGGGGAGGCGTAGTACGAAAAAGATGATGAAATGAAAGGAGAGAAAGGGGGGAGAAGAAAAGGATAAGGGATGAAGAGAAAGAATAGAAAAGAATGAGTAGAACTGAATAATGTTAATTCTGCTGTTCTTAGTACCAATAATAAAAATGTAATGACGACGATGACAAACAAGAAGACGATGATTATGGTGATGATGAGAAGGAGGAGGGGGAGAAGGAAGAACAGGAAGAAGAGAACGAAGAAAAGGAAAAATGGAAGAGGAGGTAAAGGTGGAGGGGAGGAGGAAGAGGGTGGAAGGGGGAAGGAGGCGCAGGAGTATGATGGTAAAGAGAAGGATGGTGCTCTCACCTGATAGTTGCCTATCTCTTTGACCAGCTCTCTTGTCCTAGGCCCAGGTACTTCTGTGACCATACGAGGTCCGGCGGGCTCTTCATTGTGGTCCTGGTCACGTTGGGGCTTCTCAGCCACTGCTGCTGATATCGACTGGCATCTTTTTAATCCTGAGGGAGAGGGTGAGAATGTTCATGGTAGTTATGTCATAGGTTTTTACCTGGGAACAGGGGACAGAACCGCGGGGAGAGAGCCTTGTCGATAATGTATCTCTCCTGCCTGTCTGTCTGTCTGTCTGTCTGTCTGTCTGTCTGTCTGTCTGTCTGTTTGTCTGTCTGTCTGTCTGTCTGTTTGTCTGTCTGTCTGTCTGTCTGTCTGTCTGTCTGTATTCCTCTCTCTCGTTTTCTCTCTCTCTCTCTCTCTCTCTCT